AAACCATAGTCCTCGACATAAATAAATTTGATACAAAATTATCATTTTTATAATAAATTACACGATACACTATCAGATGACTAGGAAGACGAAACAACATCATTACAAAATAATAAATAGTGAGCTCTTTTATAAAATACAAAAATTTAGGGCAATTTTTTAAAAATATAATAATGATATTTTAGCCCAAACCCAGCTATTGAGCTGGCTTTGGGATTTGATATTTGGGATTTGACTAAAATGTAGGCAAAATCTATGACCAAATATGTGTTTGCCAAAATAAAATCCAAGTTTATTTTGACAAAATTTATGGCCAAACGGGTCTTACATTCTTTTTAGGGATTTTTACGCAAATAGCCGGTCATATTCATTGTTTACTTTTTTTTATTCATATACATAAATTATACATTAATTATATACAATTATACATATATAATACATAAATTATACATATATTATATTTTTACCGATTATTTTTAGTTTAAGTGGTTGGGTAAATGACTATTTAGGTTAATTCTTCTTCTTTTTAGTATGTTCTTATACCAAAGGGAAGGTGGCCCGGAATGGACGGGGATATTTAAGATAATTACGTGCCTTTACGTGTATAATGCTGGCGGAGTAACTTTGCAAAATGATATCAATAGTATTACATAAACTTTGAGTCAATAATTATATAACAAAGAGTAAAATATAAATTTATGTGAATGATCAATGTGAAAAGTCTTATGGTAATTTGTTTGAAAGTACAAATTTATGTAAATGATCCGTTCATAACTTTGAATTTTTTTTATTTTTTTATTTATTTATAGAGAAACCCATCTTCATAATATTTATGTTGAAGCATCAATCTTGTTTACCAAGCACGAGTGATCTCCAACTATTTTTAAAGAAAAGCTGTCTCACACCAAAAGAAAATTTGGAGTAAGTTGTAAACCATAGTGATCCAAAGTGCAAATGAGTGGCTGCAATATTTTCGTCACGTTTCATCAGTTCATTAGTTAAATAATTAAGAACAATTACGAGGAAGTACAGCTGAGGAAGTGTACCTCCCCAATTAATTTTAGCTTAATTCTTTTTCTCATCTAATTTAGCTTATTGTTTACCCGAAAAAATCGGATAACGTTAAATTTAGATATGGTTCTAAGGGTATGCAAATTTCTTTGATACAAAATGACGATACATGTATTTTTACTATGAAAATGGAAAAATGATAGAAGGGAAGACTGAAAAATATTAGAAGAACCAGCTCAATGAAATCCTGATTGTGTCCCTCCCTATTGCAGTCTATCTCCCCTTTTATAATAGAGGATCATTACTTTATTTGTAATAATATAAAATAATACATATAGTGGAGAACCCATGATGGTTTGTCTCTTCCTTGATTCTTGCCGAGATTCTCTCCCTTGGTGCGGTTGTAACGGCTCTTGTCTGCGAGCTTGGCACTGACTCGAGCTTGGTGCTAGATTGAATCCCCAGTCTTAGTTCGAGCTCGGTTCTGCCTTGGAGCATCGATATTCGGGGCCTGTATCGGTCATCGTTAACCCGTAGTTCGATTCGAACGCGAACTCGATAATGATATCGAGTTTTGTGGTTAATTGGTCTTATAGCTCGAAACTCGACGTCTCTACTTCGAAATTCGTCCGAGCTCGCCATGCGGATACCCTTCGATTGAAACGTCATTGTCTCGACCGGCCTTTATGACTGAGAATCGGTTTTGACCGTATACACTTATTTTGTATATACTTTGAAACTTCTTTTCACATATCAGCATAGTATTAATTTAGCCATTGCTACGGTACCACTCTAGAAGAATGAATCAATTTTCACCGTAATACACATCATCGTAAGTAGGGTAACTCATATTGCGAATAATATCTGTTCTATGATACACATGAAAAATTCAAAATCATACTTCGCCAAAAATAATGCACATAATATTAAAATATTATATTTCTCATAAGAATGTAAAGTTTATCAACTTTAACCAAAATGATAGCTAAATATAAATCTCATTTATTCTTAAGCGGTAACAATTTTCAAATATAGATATGATTCATTCCAAATTAATTACTTCATATTATACTGAAATTCGAAAGTAAACTTCGGACAATAACCAGATTAAAAAATCTAATTAGGTTTAGTTTGATTTGATTTGGTATTGAGTAAAAATAATCGAACTAAACTGACATATAAATATATAATTTTTATATATACTTTTAAGATTTTATATNCATGTGCATCCATTTCTATTTATTTTAAATAATGATTTGTATCATCACTTTCTTATCAACAGTTTTGAAATACGTCAATCTCTTTATTCTTCCATATCATATGTCAAGATCTATTAAACTCGGGGCATTTGCATCTATACCCGATTTTGGGGTCACAATTGAACATATACCCACTTTGCAAAAAAAAAAAAATGTTAGCCTACCCACTTTACGATCAACTTCAGACTTATCGGGTCTGAAGTTAAAAAAAATTAGTCTGAAGTGAAAAAATTGTACTTCACATGCACTAAGTCAAATAGGTATGAAGTGCAACCAATTGTTTCATGCACTTAAGGCCAATAAGTCTGAAGTGAAAAATTATACTTCAGATGCATTTAAGAACAAAAGGTCAAACGTTTTCCTACTATTTAAGGCCAATAATTCTGGAGTGAAAAATTGCACTTCAATTGCACTTAAGGCCAAAAGGTCTGAAGTGCAACCAATATTTTCATGCACTTAAGGCCAAATAGGCCTGAAGTGCAAATTGCCCAGAAACAAAAATATGTTTTTCGAATTTTAATAATCCAATATACGATTTAATACTTAAATCTACTCCAAATGAGCTCAAATTTTAAACATAACCTCCAAATATCATCAAGAAAAACCCCAATCATCAATTTGTCAAAAGAATAATAAATCTAATGAACCCATTTTGCAATTAAGAAAAAGAAAAAGAAGAAACCCTAAGCAATAATAAAAAATAAAGCGCCACAATAACCCACTACTGTAAAACATCATAAACTATCTTAAAATATGTTCACAAACACCATATAAAATCACTGTTACCTGAAGAAGAAGAAGAAGAAGAAGAAGAAGGAGGAGGAGGAGAAGAAGAAGGAGGAGGAGGAGGAAAAGGAGAAGGAGAAGAAGAAGGATGAGAAGGAGGAGGAGGAGGAGGAAGAGGAGGAGGAGGAGGTGTGAAGTTGTTTAAATAGTGAGTACAGGTTAAAAAGAGTTAAAAAGTGGGTACAAGTTAAATAGGGGTGATCAAATAGGCTCCCCATATAATTTTTACATCAAACTCTTATTTCTTTTCGAATTTGAAATGGTATGTTATCGGTAATTTTAAATTAAACACAACATATCATTATATAAGTTCCATATTATTTTTTGTGTTTAGTTACTAAGTTCGGTTAACCTTGAAATCATATATCAACAAAAAATTATTGTTAGACAACCAAAAAAATAACTATCGTGTGTTACTAAACAAATTCTCCAGTAAGAATATTTTAATATATAATATGTTTGTCAACTTTTTAAACATTTACTAAATATATATTCACTTATCAAAACTTTATCTATAACTTTAACAAACTAATATTGAAATAATATTTATGTAAAAAAAATAATCCAAAAAATATGAAAAATCCAATAAAACTGAACCAATTCAAACCGATATAGCTGGTTTGGTTTTGTTTTGACAAAATCCGAACCAACCTAGCTTATGTACACCTCTAATAGATATATTAAAAAATAATATAAAATAATAAAATGATGGAGACAATAATTATAACTATACTATCTTTGACTAGAGAGCATTAAATTACGTGTTGTGTTTGTGCGCGTCAAATTTTGGTGTTGATGCCAGGGATTGGCAATCAATACTGTTCAAAATAGTTTTTGGTGCTACTTCAGAAATCAATTTTATTTTATTCTTCACAGTTTTTCTCTTCCATGTGCAGGAAACATGTTAAGGTCGTTAGTGTATGACTCGATCTTCTTCATAATAAGTAATACCCTATAAACCAGAATTGAAAAAATACGTACGACAACTGAGAAAAGAGAAAGAACTCACCGGAAAATTCTTGGGGCAATCTTTAACCCAAGAGAACATGGCTAAGAACGGTGAGGAGATAGTTGAATTTGCTGCATGGGAAGCGTCCCAACAGGAAACAGCCGCATGGGCAGTTGCTGAAGCAGCTCTCAGAGTTGATGAAATGGTTGACGGGAATGGAGGACGAAGATTCAACATGAACCGACCTCTAGTTGAAGAAGAATTTAAAAACATTATGCCCAAGCCTGGACGATTACTGGGAGACTACACAAGGCCAGTCTACAACCAAGGAGTATATAATGTACGACCCCCTCAGATCGCAACCAATAAATTTGAGATCAAGCAAGGGCTACTTCAGACCATTCAGAATAATTATGTCTTCTGAGGCAAACCTAATGAGGATCCAAATACTCATTTGATGGATTTTGATGAGATTATGAATACCTTCCAGCACAACGGAGTATCGAAAGATGATATCTACTTCCATTTCCTTTTTCACTGAGGGAAGATGCCAAGCACTGGTTGTGGAGTTTGCCGAATGGGAAATTCAAACTTGGGAAGACATGACAAAGAAGTTCCTTGAAAAATATTTTTTAGCTGCAAAAATAGGGAAAATTCGAAGAGAGATCCACAACTCAGAGCAGAAAGATACAGAAACGATGTTTGAAGCATGGGAAAGATTTAAGGATATTGGGAGAAGATGACAACTTCATGGAGTTGACTTGCGGATGCAACTCCAAGATTTCTGGGATGGTCTGACACCCTCTAGTAGGAGGACGCTAAACAATGCAGTTGGAGGTCCTCTTATGAAGAAAACTCTGGAGGAGATTGTTGCAATTCTAAATGAATTATCTGAAGATGAAAATCAATAGCCTGCAAATGATAATAAGAGAAGTAAAAAGGTTGGGGTACATCAAGTGGATTCTAAGACATCAGTGCAAGCCCAGCTAGACACCATGGCCAGAGAGATAAGAAAGTTAACCTTAGCCAAGGTCCAGAGCCAGCCATCTTTAGTCTGTGATTTCTGTGGAATGGGTCATCCAACACATGAGTGTCAGGCCTCGACTACAGATGAAATGGTAAATGTTGTGGGGAGCTTTGACAGAGGCAACTACCAAAGTGGCAATAATTTTAACTCCATGGGGCAGAGGCACCCAGGTTTTTCTTGGAGTTCACCAGGTGGTAATGCGAATGCATGAAAACAGAATAACTCCAGACCCCAGGGACAGGGAGCTCCAAGTTTTCAAAATCACCAGAGGTAGAAATATCAGCCCCCACAGTCTAGTCATTCTAGCACGGAAGATTTGATGAAGGCCTTTATTATTAGGACAGATGAAAGTCTTGAAACCCATGGAACAACTATCCGAGAATAGGGCACAACTATTAGAGAACAGGGCACGGCCATTCGAAACTTGGAAAGACAGGTGGGGCAACTAGCTAATCTATTATCTGAGAGGGTTCTAGGAACTCTCCCTGCTGATAGTGAGAGAAATCCAAAAGAGACAATAAATGCAGTGTCTTTGAGGAGTGGGCACGTATTGGAGGATCCCATAGCAAAACAAAAGAATGAGTTGATTGAAAGACAGGTAGAGATTGTGGAGGAGCAGAAAGATAGCACATTCAAGAAGGTGAAGTGATGGTAGATGGTGGTCTGAAGAAGAAGGGGAAGACTAGAGCTTAGAAGAAGAAGAAAGATGGGAATTCAATGAATGAGGAGACTGAGGAAAGCAAATACATGCATGATCTACCTTTCCCTCAGAAGCAGAGAAGAGATAAGCTGGACAAATAATTTGGGCGTTTCCTATATGTGCTCAAGCAGGTGCTTGTTAATCTGACATTCACAGAGGTGCTCTCTCAGATGCCAGCTTATGCTAAATTCTTGAAGGAGATATTGTCCAATAAGCAAAAAGTGAAAGAGACACCGGTTGTTAATCTCACAGAGCACTGTAATGCCATTCTTCAAAATACGCTCCCTCAAAAGTGTGAAGATCTAGGGAGTTTCACTATACCTTGCTCTTTAGGATGTACTACAACAACAACAATAACAACATACCCAGTATTATCCTACACCGTGGAATCTAGGGAGGGTAGTGTGTACGCAGACCTTACCCCTACCTTGTGAGGATAGAAAGGTTATTTTCAATAGACCCTCGACTTAGGAAAGCATAAGCACCACATTAATGAAAATATAGACAAGAAGGGACAGTAACAAAAAGGCATATAAAAGCAGAATAAAAACAACAAGATAGTAGGTTAATCAACAATGAAAAAAATAACGGTTAGTCATAAAAACCTACCACCAACAGAAAGCGAGGATGCATGCCAATACTACTGTTATGAACACTCTAGACTACATACTCTACTAACCTAATCCTCGACCTCCATACCTTCCTATCAAGGGTCATGTTCTCAGTCAGCTGAAGTTGCGCCATGTCTTGCCTAATCACCTCTCCCCACCTTTTCTTTGTCCTACCTCTACCTCTCAATAGACCCTCAAATGTCAACCTCTCACACCTACTCACTGGGGCATATGTACTCCTCCTCCTCACATGACCAAATCACCTAAGTCGTGCTTCCCGCATCTTGTCCTCAATAGGGGCCACACCCACCTTGTCGTGAATAACCTTATTTCTGATCCTATATAACCTGGTGTGCCCGCACATCCATCTCAACATCCTCATCTCTGCTACCTTCATCTTCTGGAGAAGCGCGAGCTTGACTGGCCAACACTCAGTCCCATACATTGGAGGCACTAAGTTGAAAAATCTTAGTGTGATTCAGGTGCTTCTATTAATCTTATGCCTTTGTCTATTTTCAGGAAATTGGAGGGAGAGATTGGAGAAATAAGATCTATACATGTGTCCTTGTATCTGGCGGATCAGACCACAATCATACAGGAAAATATAGTGGAAAATATGCTAGTTTGGGTAGATAAATTTGTGTTCCCCGTGGACTTCATCGTGGTGAATATGGAAGAGAATAGGGAGATACCTATGATTTTAGGGAGACCCTTCTTGGCTACTGGTAGAGCGATTTTGGACATTCAAGAAAGGCAGCTCATGCTCAGAGTGGGGTAAGAAAGGGTGGTCTTCAAGATGGAAGGAGCAATAGGGGCCCTAAAGGAGCTAGTTGGATAGAGTAAGCATGATAAGTGTGGGGTGTACTCAAAGAAGGAAGAAAAAGAGCTCTCACCATGGATGTGTGCACTGGGTCGAGCGTGCAAAGGAGATCCCGATTTTGATTCAGATCTTGACTAGATGAATCAGGGTAGTTTACTTTACCTTTTGCTTTTTATTTGTATGTAATGGGGACATGACACAATTTAAAGTGTGTGTGTGNCGACCTTTTTTTGCCTTGAGAGTAGTGAATGGCTCAGTTGTTACGTCTAAGCTCAGTTCTTGACTCATGTATAAGTGCCTATTTTGACGTTGCTTAACTGCTTTGACTAGAGAGTCGGGATAGATCCGATCCTAAGTGAGTTATGTGCCATAGTGTGAATAAGGTTTGTTGATATTCTATGCATGTCAGTTGATGTCTAGAACTTATCATGTGTGTTTGCAAAGAAAAATAGTCGTCTTGTTCAATCTAGGAAGTGATAGAGGCGTTTCTTTGTTGAGCCAGATATATGCTTTTACCCACCTAATTAATATGTATCGTAGTTAACCCCTTTGAGTATGTAATCCTATTTATTTGGAAACCACACTACAAGCCTGACCCCTTTCTTTGAATTTACTATATGTTTGAACCTTTTAACTCTCTCGAGTACTTGAAATTGTTATGAGCTTGTAAAAGCTAAGTTGAGGTATGGTCGTATTTTTGAGTGAAACTATTGAAAAAAGAGGAAAGTTCATTGTTTGAAAACATTGTGAGAGACACTTGTAGGGAATTGAAAGGAAAAAAAACAAGTTAGTTTGCTTGAAAAAAAAATCAGAACATAGAAAAGAAAAGAAAATTGATTCCTTCCTAGTTGTAGTTCTCATCTTGGTTGTGCTTAAAGATATTGAGAGCTTGATGCTATTATGTGTGAAGGTTAGGGTTTGGTTAAATACAAGTGTCTGGTTTAAATTGTTAATGTATATGTATTAAAGTGCTTAGGGAGGTGTAGTCACCATATCCAATAGTATCCTACCCGTCCCACAACCTACATTACAACCAAAATAAAGTCTTATTTGATCTTTGACTGAATGAGCGCAATTAGTAGAGTATTACACTACGGGCAAGCATATGGTGCGTATTCTGTGGCACATGAATTTTGATTCTAAGATGAGTGAATTCATTGTGTCTTGAGTTCCTATTTGTTCTTGAATTTTATTTTGTGTGAAACTACTCTCTATCTTTGGTGTGAGGGAACATGATTTGCAAAGGAAAGGTAATGTCTTTGGCCTCTGTGTTAGAGTAAGTGAGCAAGTTTTGGGAAAATACGTGGTGTTTTTGAGTCAAGTCTTGAGGCTAGTGTGTTATGATAGGGTACTTAGTCTGCTTTAAATATTCTGGGCATGATGTGTTAGGGATGTTGTCTGATGAGAAGGTCATCTCTATGTGAAGTTCAGTTTGATTACTCGAGGACGAGCAATGGTTTAAGTGTGGGATGTTGATGGTAGGCGAGAAACCCATATTTTAGTCATAGTTTGCACTCTAATCACTGTATTTTACTTGTGGTTGAGTTTAATTAATGGTGATTTGCGCTTATTACGTGTTTTATACCTTGCAAAAAATGATTCCGAGCTATTAAGATAATTTGGAGCTAATTTGAACAAGTTTGAGCTTTGAAGTCTGAGTAAAAGCTCAAGAAATTAAGTCGGGATCATATTCGGGGGTCGAGGACCAAGTATAGATATCAACAAGTGAGGAAAATAAATTACTCTAAGAAAAATGCACTGCCACGCTGCGAGGCGCGGGGCGATAGTGCAACATTTCTGGTGAGTGAAAAAAATCAACTCTCTGAAAATCCTCACTGATGTTGCTCATGGGGCGGCGCATGGCGCGTCGCGCCAGTGTATTTTTGCGATCCAATTGTCCCACTCCTGTTTGGAAAAGGTAGTTTCGATCGGGCCCGTTCCTACATGGTATAAATACATCAAAAAGCGATTTTTAGGGACTTTTCAACCTACAGAAGATTGGAAGAGCATTGGAGACTCAAAGCACTAGGATTCATCATTCTTTCCTCAACTCAACACCCGAGTTTGGATTGAATTCATGTTTTTTTTACTCTTTCATTATATTTGTGATGACTTAGGGTTTGACGGATATGGTGTTTTGATTGCTATTTGTGAATTTTAATTCTATTTCTTTGCTTGAATTTGTTTATGGAGCGTTGAATTATTTGCAGCTTTATTCACCAATTTATTTAATCGAAAAAGGAATATTATGGTGATTATGTTGCATTATTTTGTTTGTTTTAATTCAGTGATTCTCTTAAATAATCGAAAGACCTTGTTGAATTGTTGATTAAATAATGTTAGGAGAATATTTGAGAGACATTTTCCTGAAGACTAATTCATAAGCGCATGCTTGCATATTTTCACAGTACTTATATTAGTTCACCTCGTAGATTTATGATTTAATCGAGAGAGGAGTCTCACTACACGTTTGAACTAATCATCAAGTAAATTCGTGAGAATCCTTAGAACATTAGAGTGAATTGAACTAGAGTTGGATTCCAAATAGCTATCTTGTACCTATCCTGTCACGACTCTTATATCTCCCATTGATATTTCAGTGTTGCTCAACTCTTGTCTTCCAGTGATCAATTGTTAATTGTTTTAGTCTCATAGTTAATTTTAGTTATTAATCATTCCAACAAACGTATTAATCATCCTGAATAGCGTTAAGCTAGAAATTACTTGAGCATTATTTAAATTCAATCCCCATAGAGACGATAATCATAACTATACCATCTTTGACTAGCGAACATTTTTGTGTTGTGTTTGCGCTCGTCAAGTGCATAAAAGTCTACATTTTCCGAATGAAGCATACTTTCAATCAAAAACTGTTTAGTATGGAAGGTATGAATAATGTGTTCAATTCATAATAAACCTAAAGCTGGATAGGGCTCCAACGAAGTACAATGAGATGGCGCCTAGAAATTAAGATGAGATAAGCATTAGCATGACCAGCAAATAAAATAAAGTCAAGCACAAATTCCTTTCATTATGGTCCCTTCTTTCTGGATTCAGGGCATGCAACAGAGTTAACCTTGGTTCTCCACGAAAGGAAACCAATGGGTGGCTAATCATATATGAAGAAGTTGCTAGTTTGGTATACTTGACAGACAGCAAGAACCAAAAAAAAAAAAAGCTACCTAAATTTAGGGGTTGCTTGAGAAGAATAGAGGCGGGGTAAGGAAAGTGATTCGTACAGATGGTGGATATGCAATTACGTCTAAACATTATTGAATGTTGACACTGCAGCTCAGAAACAAATTAAATTTACAAGCTCAACAAAACCTAAAAAAACCATTACACCTTAAATTTACAAGCGTGCATAAACAACACCTAAACACATTACATTTACAAGCTCAACAACACCTTAGATGTACATATGCTTGTTCATCCAAACTCTATATCAAAATTTAACTAGCTTGATTTCAGAAACATGAGTCATCAAGAGTTGATTATCCTGTTTGGGCTTGTTTGGTGTTTGGTGCAATCATATTGGGGGCTGCATTGAACCGTGACGCACGCTTGTAAGTAGCCTCTTCTGGTGCTAGCACTGGCGGTTCATTCAAATGTGCCAAACTGCTAATTACCCACCTACAGCCATAGCCCAATATTACAACTAATCAGGTCCAACATTAAAGTAACTAACATGCTACAATGCAATGTAATTAAATTATGATAGTGCAAAAAGGTTTTTTTACTGTTAGTGTATATAAGTTTAATAATTTAATTAGGAGACATAATTTCCCAAATACTTCTTACACCATCAATGGATAAAAGATACTTTTGTACTATTGTTGCGAGGGGGCATATATGACTACATATTTCTTGGAGAGAATTCTGGGTGATATGAAGTGCATTTATACAAGTAATATTCAGTAGGAATAATAATTAAAAGAACTGTAGATTGATCGGTTGGCCTAGTGAAAAGAGATTATCTCGCTTAGTTTGAGAGAGCACTTGTTAAATTAAATATTTTTTGCCCCTAAATGTATACACTATTGACTTTAGTTGCTCTCATAAACTCATCCACCACATTTTCAAAGTTATAGATCAAATATCAAATATGCGTACATACCAGCCGTGTTTCTCGATTAGTTTCTCCCAATTTGTATCACTGTTGATACCCAAAATCTCCCCGGAGTTTGACGTTTCGTACTCCTTTTTAGCAGTCTCTTCAAAGGTACTATTAGCCTGTCCCAAAACAACCAACGTCTAAGCCACTAGAAATTAATTAATACCACACCATCCTTTCGACATTAGAAGAGTAAAAATACTATTACCTGATTTGGGCTGCGAGGGGATAGCATAGAACTATCTCTGGGATGCTCTTCTTCTTTCTTTTTTTGGGATCTCCAATAGGCATTTATTTCTTCCTTTGTTAATGACGTGTTTCTCTTATATTTCACTGCAAAGTAAAAAAGAATTATTTCGCAACTAAAACTCAGAAAACTATAAGGTCAGTAGAAGATATGCAGCAACTTACAAACTTTGGGGTCAGGAATATTACAGGCCCAACCTGCCATAAGGGAACCCATATTCACTTATTATTTAATTTGCTGGTTTTCTTTGAAGCAGTTGATAGTATACTCAGTTCCTGAGTGTATCTCTCTGAAATAATGTGTCTTTAATAAAGCTTTACTAGAAGACAAGTTCATAAATTTATTTTGGGCGCTTGCTTTGATTTTTAATAATATTAGGCGTGGAACTTCTAGCAGCACGTAGATATGCATGCAGGGTGACGAGAACTTTTGGCAAGATAAGTACCCAAAATGGAAAAGAGAATTTATGATACAAATGGATGTCCTATAGATCGTCACGTCATAGTTTACATTAAGTATCATCCAAAAATATGTTACGTACATACGATCTTCACGTGACCAAGTCAGGAAGCCAAGCTTATCTAACTTCTGAATTGGATTCTTTTTATTTACCCCTTCAAAATGAGTAACAATTAAATTTGTATGTGATTTAAAAGATACGTGATTTAATTCAATACGAATGATCTAAGAATAACAAATAAGTAAATTAAAGAGAGAATGAACGGTCAAACCAATCACAATATAACAATCATGCCTGACCTTAAGTTGAACACTGAAAATCGGCCTCGATCGAGTCCTCGATATGAGCTCGTTTACAATCAAAGAAGAGAATAACCGAAGAACACTTTGAATAATAGCTAGAAGACAAAAATAAAATTTTATTCCTTTGATATGCGTGTCAATAATGTATTTAAAATAAAAAAATTCTCCCATTTATATAGTAGGAGAATTTTAGTCCTAATAAAAGTTTAAATAAGGTAAAAATCTTCTTTTTCCGGTAAATGTCAATCCGCAATTGATATCAGACGGGATCTGCACTGTAATATCCGATTGAAGGCGAATATTATGGCTCCCCACTTATCACGACCAATCGTTCCTCCTTTTCCCGTGGGTCTCAAAATTTTACTTGGTCATGGTTCGTTATTTTGCCATGCCCGATCCTAGATACATCGTTCACTCCTTCTGAGTTTCGATACGAGGGATCCTTCTGCCTTGCTTGTAGTTGCATCGAACCGCGCTTCCCTCTCGTTCTCTTATTGGAAAATCGGAGAAAACTTTACCCCTGAATTTACCCGTATACAGATAGTGCCCTCGTTTTTCGGAGAGCAGATTTATCATAGCGACGGGAAGCGACCAGTTGACCCCGGTTCCTTCTTCCGTATGCTATAACTGAGTCGACGGGTCAGTGAAATGTCCCATCGATCACATCGCTCTGACTTCGGACACTTGTTAGCCACCGGTTGACCGTCCTCGAATGCGAAACGTCACGCATTAATTACTCCACTCTACCTGTTCATATAAGGACAATGTAAGCAAATTGATAATAGTATGCTGACTACTTATCTACCGTCATTAGTTAACTAATTAATCATTCTAAATAGAATATTTATAACTCTGTTTCACAGTAAGTATTAAGATAATATTAATGAGCAAGGATTATGATCCTGACTTTAGTACCGAATACTCTGAACTTGATTCAAGCCCAATCGTTGAAGGCATATCATAACAACTAAGGAAAGCTAAGGAGTCTTCAATCAGGTACCAAATTGACGATATTTTAATTCTCTTTGATCTTCCTGTTCAGAGTAACGATTTTACCATATGTGGTTCATTACAGTTTACAGGGGTCAAGTAGCGGTGAAATGTTGAAAACTCATTAGAAGAATGATGGGAATGGCTAGATGAACATTATAGCTTGGATATAATCATTCCATGGAGATTAGGCACAAATATAATTAAAGGTTCTTGATTTTAAAGGTGTCGTCTTTTCCGAAAATGATTTAACTTAATTATATGCATTACGTGATAGACGAAGATATACTATAGGCTGAGATATCCCATGTGATTAACTATCTCACCTTCTATATGAGATAATTAATACCATGATTTGGTATAAATTTATACTTATATTAACTAATACTCATAACTAAATATGGGATAAATACAATCATAAATTTTATCCCGAGATTAGTATTCTTATCCCGGTAACCAAACGATCCCTAAAGGTATAAAGTTTTTACCATCAATATGTAGAAGTTAAATTTTGAAAGAAATAGTCCATCTTTAGTGCCTACAGTTCTAACATTTTAGATCTCTTTCCAAAATTTATATCTCATTGCACACAATTTGGTTCCAAATGATCTGTATTAATGATCGGTTATTTGTTTAATCTAAAGTTTGATTATTAAGTCAAGCAATTAAATTTATAAAATTTAGGCCATAAGCAATCTCACTAAATCAAATGTAGTTGACCATTAGACAATATAAAATAATGGACGTTACGAAATAATAGTGACAAAGCAAATAATTAAACAAAAATAATAAAAAGATAGAAGAGAGTAATTCTTGTTGATCGATCCGGGATAATTGATAGTTGATGAACATTAGTAATAAGTATTAGATGAAAAATAATTTTTTTAAAGTTATTTTATAAGAGTGTGTATTACAATGATAGGAGAGGTAGATATTTATAAGACAATCTAGCCTTAACTAACTCTAAGCACCTCTCCCGCATGTTGCGGAAATTAAATCGTCGTTGTTGGACGTGATAAGATAGAATCCCAGACATTTTAGAGTTTAACGGTGATGGGATGTCGATTGTCTGGGTATCGTGAAACTTCTAGATGGATCATTTCGGAACATTGCTATCCGATATAACCAAAGTAGACCCGTGACCAAGTTCTAGGAATTGTTAAGATTTCTTCGGTCTTTGAACAAGCTAGAACCGGCTAACTAGGAGTTGACTATGATGAGTTTCTTCAGTACTTGCCACGTTTCCGATAAAAGAGTCTTCATGCCGGTATATTAATTACCAATACAGATAGCTCCCTCACTTTTCGGGCAGTTCTCTTGAGCTGACTGGAAAATAAAAAAATTTATGTGGGAAATAAAACATAACCGTCATCTGATAAAGCGGATGTCCCTTCAACTTTACAACTGGTACATGTGACAAGATCAGGTTATTGATGATGTCATTATTCATTAACAAGGCAATAATTACCCTGCGCTTGAAAATACCAACTCCCTTCACCCATTCTTCTTCTTTTCCCTATTCATTTTTCTGTTAGAGATTTTATTGTTGTTTCGTGAAACTTTTCTTAAGTTCTTGCCTTTTCAGTCTATAATTTCTAAATTTTCTTTAGTTTTGTCTTCATGTATGCATATTGTTTATGCAATCTCAGGGTCATGACCTTCAACCTAGTTAATACTCCGCCATCACAAGATTTGACACTACCGAGAGATGGTTTCTGATGGCTCCTACCGAAGAGGTGAGGAAGTAGATATGATGGGGTTGGTGAGAAAGGAAAAAACCATCACCCACAAATCTTCCTTTGGGATCAATAGCACTGACTGTGATCCTAGTCTAGAGAAAACCGTGTGCGACATTATTCCCAAGGAGTTGAACCTCTCAACTGACTGATCTCAAGGCAAGATCGCGAAGCATCTCAGTGACAGAAATGCCCTGGTGGATGAATACACTTCTTTAATACAGTTGGACCACCTTCCTTCCGTTCGGGTGGAGTGTGGATGGGATGAAAATGTACAGGTTCATTGTGTCCGATAGGGCAGCTGAATTATCAACCATGGCGATTATTTTTTATTTGTGTACAAATATTCCTCCACCATTAGGTTTGGGCTTTCAATTAATGAATTCTCCGAGGAGATGTGTAGAAGATATAATATTTGCTTGGATCAAGTGGGGCCTCAAGTATGGAGACTCATTACAGGCTTCCTCTAGTCTTCCTTCCTCGACCGATGAGAACTTTACTTTTTGGCATTTTCTGCATCTCTAATCTCCCAAGCTTTTTTGGGGCGGCATGTTCACAATGAATCCACGAGGCAAGTGGGCCATCATCTCCAACACCAATGATGATTATGATCGGGGATGGTTGTTTACTATGCTTACCTCATGATTCATCTAATCTGCAATCACCATAGTGACTTTTAACACTATGTAGGGATGGGTCGGCAAGATCTTAAGTGTCTCCACCAAAGCTTCAAGATCTTGGAAGGCCATTTCTACTGAAAGAGAGTGGAAGGCCAATAATTATGGTAGCATCTTGTTTTATCAATTTGAATTGGTTACAACACTATTATGGAACTATACAACTCAGTTTTTCACATCTTTGGAGGTTCGACTGGGAAGAAGTAGCAGTCTCAATCCTGACTTTAAGTTTAGCCCTTGTTTTCTGATCTTGGAGGGGCTTAATAGGCACTTTTTGGATTTACTTACTAGGAAGAAATAAAATTTTGATATGTCTAGTGTCGTCCCGGAAGGGGGGAGCCAACAATCGGTGAGACAACCTCTTGTTGGTTCTTTTTAAGAAGATAAATAATGACATTAGCAAGAGGGGGAGCAACCCGGGAAAGTTAAAGGTTTGCATGAAGCACCTATGGTTATTTATCGGGAATGATATCGTCTAGAGTTTAGGGATGCCAACAGAGATCAGGAGCAGGTGTTGCAAGCCAGTCTCTCAACTAACGTCGGTAATTGCACAATTATGATCTTCGTTCCTGGCAATATTAATATTTTCAAGGCTCCAAGCCATGCTGGCATTTATCTACATGAGTTGATCAATCCCGTGGAAAGTGTCCAACTTAGGAGGCACTCAACAGAGGGGTTGATTTCACATATTATTTTGTTAGCTCTCAAGATAAGATAATTTGTTTGCATTAAACTATTTTGCTATCCTGGGGACTACTATTTTAGTCACTCATATATTTCATTTTGTAGGGCAAGTTGATCTCCATGGATGGACTTAAAAGGGTGCAGGGGTAGATGGCTAAGGTTATGGAGCTTACCGAGGCAAATCAAAAGTTGAAGTCCGATCTTGAAGGATTTAAGGTTGAGAAGGAGGCCTTAGTGCAAAGGGAAGATGCCAATGCTAAGAGTTCAGAGCAGTTGCAGAAAGAGCAGAAAGAGCTGGAAGACTGGGAGCCATCCTTCTCCATGGAACTGTCTCTCATGCCACGACCTTGGGGAGCGAGACCGGCGCTCAACCGAAATACCTCGGTCGAACAAGCCTGTACAATACCACCTACCCAATTCTCCCATGAATAAAGAGAAGATACATTTTATTAATTAGACAGTAAGAGGTCATGTGAATAATACCAGTTCATTTCCATTAGTTACGCCATTAACAAGTCTCCAAACAGTACACTATACATTCGTGGTTGAAGTGGAACATGTGATATAATTACAACAAATTTAGTTTAACTTTCTCAAAATAAGATACAACCCACACAACGTCTACGGAACCTCTAACAGAAATAAGAGACTGCTAAGACAGTGCTGGCAATAAAGCCTCGGCTATACTTCAAAATGCTAGGTACAAAGGACAAGAGATACAGGACCTCAAAATGAGGTGGAACTCACCAAGTCAGCTGAGGAGAGGGTGTGCTACTATCACTGATCAACACCATCTGCTATGGAACCACCTGTACCCATTAAAGATGCAGTGCCCCCAGCAAAATGGACGTTAGTACATATAAAACAATACTAGTATGTAAAGCTAAACACCCTCTAAATAGAACGAATAATAGTAAACGGAGAAGGAAACATGAAATCATTTAGAGACTCAAACAGTTTTAAGGTGTCGAATTAGGGGGAAAGTAAATTTCAAGTAAGTTTCAATCTTTTTAAGTTGGGAGATCTTTAGAACCGATACACCATCGTATTTTTTAGTACGGAGTCCGATCTCAGCCCAATCGGCTAAGCCGTCTCACATCGAGACATCCACTCACAATACCACCATGTGCGCGGCATGGCGTCCGATCTCAGCCCGATCGGCTAAGCCGTCTCACATCGAGACATCCACTCACAATACCACCATGTGCGCGGCATGGCGTCCGATCTCAGCCCGATCGGCTAAGCCGTCTCACCTCAATGTTGTGTGGGTCGACATCACATCACATCTCGCTAGCAATAATCTCATACCATATAAGGGAAAATATCTCAACACATCAATCTCATCCCATATAAGGGAAAACAACCTCATTACATTAACACGGGGATTTACCTCTCAATCACTCCTACACCGGCACGTGTAGTTTCGGGGTTAGATTTTTTTGGCCTACCCTTCTTCGACGGCTAAACGATACTCCCAAAGCATTTATTATTAAAAGGATTTACCACTCATTTCATATTATTTTAAATATCATTCATTTCATTGGCACCATTGGCCATAACGCAATATCATTCTTGGCACGTTGGCCGCACTTCATATTTCATACTCCTTTCTTTCACTTTCAAATATCATCACGGGTCATCAACATCAAGGCTTTTCAAATTAAGACTTTAAATACGCATGTTAGCAAATAAGAGTCTTAGGCACATAGGGATTTCTTACACAATTTGGCATAATAACTTTGTTTTGATCTTGACTTGAAGTCACAACATTTTAATACATACTCATACTTTGAACACGCTCCCGAAGAATAACATAATATGATAAAAATATCTGGAACACATTTTTAACATATTCATAGATACATCTTTCAACACCACAGTTATTTGGAATAGTCAATTTAAAATGAACAACTCGGGACTTATAAGAACCTCATGGGATTCTGTAAGGCCCCATAAACTTTTGCAAGGAATTTAAGGTTTTGTGGCGCCGAGGTAGGCTTAGGTGTTTGAGGATTGTAGAAAATCCTCAAACAAGAATGCACTGAGGCGTTGATGGAAATATTTGGCTGAAGAAGGCGATTCTGCGGTCAGTTTCGCGATCGCAAAACCATTTCGCGGGCCGCATAATTATCGCAAAATTGAGCAGAGAACTTGTTGAATTTTGAAGGATGTTCTGCAGTCCATTATGCAATCGCATAGTTATTTCGCGGTCTACACATCCATCGCATACTTGGCATGAAGAATTTTTTAGAGTGATTCTGCGGTCCACTCTGCGGCCGCATAAGTGGTATGTGGACCGCATATGAGCCACGAACCTATCCAGTCTAGCCCAGATTTGGAGGACAATTTTGCGGTCCAGTTTGCGGACTATATACGTGATCTGCGGTGCATTCTGCGACCATAGATTTGAGATCGGAGAGTCCATTTTCCCTATTTTATAACCCCGACCTCATTTTGGGGCGACCATCTGATGATTTTAGAGAGAGGTAAGAGCATTTTAGAAAGAGAAGGAGGAAACCTAACTTTCTAATCATCCAATCTTGCACCAATCTTCAAGAATCAAGGAAGCCAATCACAAGATCTTCATCTAAGAGGTAAGGTTCCATACCCTAGTTTTAAATTTCAAATTTGGGTGGAAGATGATTAATGGAAAGTATGAATCTTGGGTGTGGGAGTGTTATTTATATATGCATGTACTATCATGGGTTGTGGAAAGATCATTGAACTAGTATAGGTGAACTCTTGGCGTTGAGTTGGTTGTGGGGTGAAGGAAATCTTGTAGCAGGATCTTGTAACTAATTTGTACACATAGTGTTTGATAAAATGCTCAAATGAGCTGGACCGTGAACTTCTTCCTAATTATGGTTCAATTTTGTTATGTTTCTAAATAGATTGAAGTTGCTGAGATTTCTGGAATATTGTAGTAATTTAATAAAGCTCAAAGCAAGGTATGTTGGCTAAACTTTTCTTTTAGAATTGAACCCCACAATGGCCTCGTAAAGTCCCGTGATGCTCATTATAAATTGATTATTCCAAATAAGCCTTGTGTCCAAAAGATATATACTCAATATGTATTCCAAATGTTCCTATTATGTTATGTGTTATTTGAAAATGTGCTCGAAGCATGGGTTGCATATATAATTGTTATAACTTCAAGTCGTGGCTCAAATGAAAGCTATTATGCCATATTGTGTAAGAAATCTCAATGTGCTTAACATTCATATTTGCTCACATGTGGACATAAAGTCTTGAATAAAAATGCTTTGCGGTTGATGATCCATGATGATGTTTGAAAGTGAAAGGAGAGAGTGTGAGATGTAGAAATGTGTCCATCATGCCAAGAATGAGAATTACATTTGTGGCCAATAGTGCCCAGAATGAGAATTACATTTGTGGCCAATAGTGCTAATGAAATAAAAGAATGTGTGAACATTATGAGATGAGTTTTGACTCCTTTATATAATAATGTCATTAATGTCCTATGATCACCCATGACTAGTACAATTAAGTGATAGTGTGCACATGAACTATGGCCATTTGCCAAAATGAGAATCATGAGACATTTTATGTTCCAATTGTTTCAACTATAGTTGTATGCTTCTGAAATAATGAATGTAAATGACTTTGATGTTAAGTCACTGAGACTCATGAACTTAGCTAGTGACCTTAAGATGACAAGGAGGTATATAATGAGGAGGAAAAGAGACGCACTTTACTAAATGATGACGAACCATAAGAAAAGAAAGTGGGTCGAGGTACCATTGAAATCTACTTAGTTATTTGCCATGCATGTGTTAATGAAATGAGCTATGTCTCCATGATGAGCATGAAAATGAATTGTTCCAATGATCCGGGAACTTACGACCTTAAAAGTAGCATTAGTCATGTCACTTGAGTTTATATATGGTTATGTGCATAATGATGTGTTATGAATCCTATGGATGGTCTATGAAACATATAGGTATATTGTGTATGGAATCCTATGGACGGTCTATGAAACACATAGGTATATTGTGTATGGAATCCTATGGACGGTCTATGAAATGCATAGGTGTATTGTGTATTGAATCCTATGGACGGTCTATGAAATGCATAGGTGCATTGTGTATGAAATCCTATGGACGGTCTATGAAACGCATAGGTATATTGTATATGGAATCCTATGGATGGTATATGAAATGCATAGGTGTATTTTGTATGAAATGTATAGGTGTACGGTATGAATAAACACTATGGATGGTCTATGAGATGCATAGGTGTATAATATGATATGTGAACACTAAGGACGGTCTATGAAATGTATAGGCATAAAATAAGAGAGGGATATGGACGGTCTAGTGAGACGCATTATTAATGCAGACAATAGGTGTCACTTTCATTGGCCTTGTTTTTATAGGTTGTTTCAATTTTATTATATTATATATTTCACGCATAGTTCATATGGCTCAGTTGATCCTAAAAGAATTTTAGAATGATGCAAGTATAATAAGACTTGAAATTTGATTCTATGGGATATTTCGTAGTTTCTTGATGTACTTTATTTGCCTTTTATTTGAGTTACTATATTTGCATATGCTGTTTTGTCTGCCTTACATACGAGTACTATTCTACATGTACTCACGTCCCATTTGCCGGGGCGCTGCATCTTTTAATGGATGCAGGTGGTTCCATAGCAGGCGACATCGATCAGTGACAACAGTACATCATCCTCTCAGCTAACTTAGTGAGCCCCACTTCATATCGGGGTCATGTACCTTTTGTTTCTCATGTATTGTATTTTGAGGTATAGTCGGAGCCTTGTTTCCGGCACTATACTAGTACTCTTTTGTACCCGTTACAGGCTCCGTAGACATAGTGTGGGTTGTACGTTAGTATTGGGAAGGTCAAACTAATGATGTTGTAATTGTATCACATGTTCCACTTCTAAACTATGGATGTGTAATGTAATAGTTTGGGGACTTATAAATGAAGTAGCTAATAGTAATGGATTGGTGTTATGTAAATGTTCTCCTTAATGTCTAATTAATGAAAATATATTTTCTCGTTATTCATGGGTGAGTTTGGGTAGAAGGCATCTAGTAGGCTTGCTCGGCCAAGTTATCTCGGTTGAGTGCCGGTCGCGCTCGCCAAGTTCGGGGCGTGACATAGTCAATTCTAAGAGAGAAGTTTAGCCAACATACCTCGCCTTGAGCTTCCTTAAATTACTACAATATTCCAAAAATCTTAGCCACTTCGATCCATTTAGAAATATAGCAAAATTGAACAAAAATTAGGAAGGAGTTCATAGTTCCAGCTTATTTGAGCATTTTATCAAATACTAGGTGGGTATTATGTTTTCTAGCTTCTCCTATGGTGGATTTCCCTCACCCCACAACCCAAGGTTTACCCATTTGGGCTCAACTATCTTCCCATACTCATGATTGTACATGTATGCATGGATACACTCTCATACCCAA